GTAGAAAAAACAGATCCAGTTCCTTTTTCTTTATGGTGGTATGGCATTCATGGATTCGGGCGTTGAGCAAACGATGTTCTGCTTGAGCCACGATCCGGTGTCCCTCTTGAGTGTGGACGAGACGCTTAAGACGTAGGCTATGCGGAATCACGCTCATGTCTCGGCAGGTTTTTGTAAAGTCAAGGTGCGTTTTGAAGACGGAGATGCTGCGAGTAACGTTGACATACCGTTTCGCAAGCTGAGCTGTCGAACGCCCGTAATCGAGGTGTAAAGACTTGAAGGTAAACATCTTCGACAGACGTCTGTCTGGTTGGGAAGTGATAATGGAAAAATATTTATGCCATACCACCATAAAGAAAAAGGAACTGGATCTGTTTTTTCTACGTCGGAAGCTCGAACATCAGATTCCAGACGTACTACCATCTCTGCAGTTGTTTGCTGGGAACGTCGCGGCCACTGCCGAAAAGAAGCAACGTTCGTCCCAGCAGAGGAAGCTTTCGATTCTATCAAAGGCAAGCACGACAAACAAAAGCTGCGACACCACCGCTTTTGTAATGAATCTTTCATCTAAACGACTTTCTGACTGCGAGACGGATGTTTTGGCGAAAGGTCACAACTTCAACATGACCTCAGGAAGACCACCCCTGGCGAAAATGGTCGCAGCCGTAGAAGACGGAATCTCCCACCTGGATCCCGACGTTCGTGAAGGAGTTCGACTTAAAGCAATAGGTATTCTGTCAAGACTCCGTTCTCAACCACACCATAACCTGCCTAAAGAAGAAAGCAAAGCGCTGCGGGAGCTCCAGGCGGATACCACTATCGTAATTCTGCCTGCGGACAAGGGCAATGCGACTGTGGTCCTAGACCGGGAAGCTTACGAGCGTAAGGTCGGAGACCTCCTTGACAGTCCTGCTTATGAAAAGCTGAAGAAAGATCCAACCCGCCAAGTCCAAGACGGCCTGAACAAGACTCTGGCAGATGTTTTCAGGAACCACCCCGATTCAAAAGGCCTCTACTTTCAGCTCATATGCAGGAATGGCTCTGCACCGGGCTTCTATGGGCTGCCCAAGATTCATAAGATCAACGTTCCTCTGCGACCCATAGTAGATTTCACCACCTCTCCGCTCCGGGCCTTGTCAAACTACTTACACCGGATAATTTCGCCTCTCACTGGAAGAACCTCCACCTTTGTCCGCAATGCCGGTGACTTCGTTGAACGCATGTCGGAAGTGAAGGTCAACAGGGAACACAGCATGGTGTCGTTCGATGTCGTGTCCCTCTTTACCAGCGTTCCAGTACCCCTGGCAGTCTCCACAGCCAGAGCGGTTCTCGAATCAGATTCCGAACTCAGCACCAGAACCAGCCTCAGCGTGGACGAGCTGTGCCGCCTTCTTGATTTTTGCCTCCGCGGCACCTACTTTTGCTTCAAAGGGGACTTCTACAAACAAACCAGCGGAACTGCGATGGGTGCGTCCATATCTGTCACCACTGCAAATTTGACAATGGAAAGCATCGAACAACGAGCGCTACAGTCCTTTGCCAACAAACCTGAGGTGTTCATGCGTTATGTGGACGACTGTTTTTGTATATTGAAAACATCAGAAGTTGACAAGTTCCTGGCTCACCTTAACTCCATCGAGCCCGACATCCAATTCACCGTGGAACGGGAAAAGGACAACAGTTTACCATTCCTTGATGTACTGGTGAAGAGGCAAGGGGAGGAGATGAAGTTTTCGGTGTACAGGAAGCCCACTCACACCGGACGCTACCTTAATTTTAAGTCGCACCATCCAGCGAGTCATAAGGCATCAGTCGTTGCAACACTCATGTCCAGGGCGGCTGTTATCTGTTCTTCAGAAACTGACAGAAAAAGCGAGGGGCAGAGTGTGATCGCTGATTTGAGAAAGAACGGCTACCCGACAAGATTCATCCGACAAGTCACCAAACGTACGGTTCACGCTCGCCAAAACCCACAACCAAAGGGAGCTGCGCCGCATCGCCCCATCACGCGCATCAGCGTTCCCTACGTTCAGGGTACTAGCGAAGCACTATCACGGGTGCTTGCAAAACAAGGCATTCACGTGGCTCACAAACCGGTATCCACTCTTGGACGGTTCATGCCAAGACCAAAAGATCGCCCCCCGAAGGAAAAAGCACCGGGAATTGTTTACCGGATCCCCTGCTTAAAATGTCCTGCATCTTATATCGGCGAAACAAAGAACTTCATAGAAAGGTTACGCCAGCACAAGAACGATGTACGCAAATTCGACCGAGAACGCAGTGCTCTTGCGGAGCACTGTGACACCTTTGACCATCCGATAGACTTCGCGAACGCGTCCGTTCTTGATGTTGAAACCAATCTCCGAAAAAGACATCACCTTGAATCATGGCACATCCAAAATACACCAGGAAACATCAACAGATCTATGGGTACCTTACCATCTGTTTATGTGAGCGGACTACGACACGTGATTAGAAAAAGACTGGATGGCAAGGCGGAAGCGCGATTAGAAAATATTCGTATCACCAAAGAAGACGAGGCTGCTCCCACGCACGAGATCAATCGCCCCTGAAGAAGAAACCGAACTGGTTTTGAAACGTTGGGTCCGAGTTTAATTTTTGGTTGGAGTCAAATATTTTTCCATTATCACTTCCCAACCAGACAGACGTCTGTCGAAGATGTTTACCTTCTAGTTAAGAGGAGGTGTTTCTTTATTGGTGGTGAGGGTCTTGAGGTATATATAAGAGCGTTCGTTGTTTAAATAAACCAGCAACTGTGTTCGAGACTTGTTGTTTTGTCCATTTCTTTTATCGTTCCGTGTAAAGGAGTAAAAATGAAAGGGAAAAAACATACAGACACCGGTGTATTTATTCATTTTTTTATGCATAATATAGTAGGTGAGACTGATACAGAAGCAGAAAAAAAGAAACACCAATGCTACGCACCCCTCCACACACCCCCCCCCCCCCCCCCTTTTTCTAAAAAAAAAAAAAAAAAAAAAAAAAAAAAAAAAAAAAAAAAAAGTTGGCCGCGCCCGCGGCGCGCCGGATTTTTTGCTTGGCGGCGGCGGCGGCGTGCTGGCTCTGGGGATTCCGGCGGCGGCGCAGGGCGGCGAGAGCAAAACAGGCGGCGGCGGCGGCGGCGCGGCGCGGCGGCGCACAGGTCTAGGTGCGCCGCAGAGCCGTGGTGCGCCGTCGCGCTGCGCCTCCGCCGCCGCCGCACGCTGAGCCTGGTACGCCCGATGCGCTGCCGGTTTTCGGAGGCCATGGTTCCCATGGTTCAACGCGTTTCTTCCCCACGCCGCCGCCGCCGCCGCCGCCGCCGCCGCCAAAAGGAAAAAACTCCGGGGCGCCCCTGCCGTCGATTTCTGACCGGCGCTTAGGTATATCACGTGGTACTTGCGCTCTTTCAGGGGCTTTCTTTGGACTCTAGAAGTTACTTATTAATCATCGTTTTTAGTTGCATTCAAACGAAGATAAATAATTAACTTTTATAGCGAGTTCGTTTCACTGCACTCGTGCCCACGCGTGCCCACTCGCAGCGTGGAACGGGTTCGTTTCGGCCGGCACTCCACGAGTGGTTGCACGGGTTGCACTCTCCGAGTTCGTTTCAGCGCTGACACCCCACGCGTGCATGCACTCGCTGCACCGAGAAAATCGGGAGTGCGCCAAAATGCAATCCCGTCATGCCTCGCTCCGGCGGGGCCGGCGAGGAGCGGGAGCAGACGACGAGGGTTCGTCTGCTACGATGTGTCGCGGAGCCGAACGGAAAAAAAGTAGATTTTCTGATAGAAATCGCGTCCCGCGGGCCACGAAATCAAACGCGAGCTTGAATTGTGAGCCTCTGCTATTTCCCGAAGAAAGAAATTGACAACCCGTGATTTATTTGCAGGTTTTAAATCGCTCTGTTGCCGTACAAACGCTGAAATATACCAGTGTGTAAAGGAATGCTCAGAACAAACGTAACAGCGGCCCCCGAGATATCTATCACCATCTGTGTGCGGGTGAAAAATTTAACATTTGTCGACAAAACTCCCCCAGCAGAAACCTCCGACTGCCCAATAAGCATCAGAGAAAGCTAAAGATGGTAACTTTACCCGAGGATTGGGCAACATCATCATGTTTAACATTTACCTACGTCAGCTAACTTGCCCCGTCGTATTTTGTTCGAGAATGCTCTCGTTCTCGACGCCCTCACCAAGGCTAATATCTGATCCACGGATCATGCTTGTGCTCGGACAGCATCATCAGTTTTCTTCGGTGTAAACGGTTATAAGAATTGAAAGATAGCAACCGGCTGCTTTGTAGACAGCTGGTTGTGGAAATTTACGCCGTCTGTAACTATCTCTACGGCAGCCGAGCTGTTTGAAGTCATCGCAACTATAAACTACAGGTTGCAGCGACCAACGTTTCTAGATAAACGTTGGTAGCCGACTGCATTCTCGCATTCCCACGCATCACTCCGAACAGAAAGGCGCTAGTTTCGGTTTGAAGTCGGTACCTTTTCTACAACATAGATGGCGGCAGCGTCAGTCCTCTGCACTCGGTGCATTTGGCGAGTTCGTTTGAGTCCAGTTTTCCGTGCAACACTCTGGGAGTGCGATGCATTCTGGGAGAGAACTCGAACGGTGCCAGTGCGTGTGAAACGAACTCGCTGAGACCATAGAGATTTTATTTGCACGGATGGATGGAAGTTAATAGCTATAACCTTGTACCCTTTGTAACGGGCGGTAGCTTGCACCACCACCTAGCTTAGCGTGCAACGCTGTCAAAGCTACTGGCGCGAGCGCGTGGCGTCATCTATTTGCGCGAGATTGCGTGCAAATGATCAACGAGATCAAACCTCATGCTCGCGCCAGTAGCTTTAGCATTTCCGTGTGTTGCTATGACAACAATGATGGCTCTGGCTATTACCATGACTCGTGACTCGGCTCGGCGAGCGGCTGGCTGCTTGTGACTTCACTGGTCTAACCAGCCTAGCCGCCTAGCTAGCCAGCCGTTAAGCCAATTGAGCATCCAATCAGTCCAATGGTCCTTGCATTTTCGAACACGCTAGACGCGGCCTAGAAATGCAGGTCTAGCTTTTACTTTTTTTTCTCACTCCTTGGAAGGCGAATTTTCCAATTGTGTTATCGGTGTAGCTACTTGTACACGGTTTGAGCGTGTCGCTAGCGAACAGTCTCCAGAAAATTACACTTCCAGCCGAACGAAAGATGGCGAGTGCAGTTGTGCTGCAAAGCAAGGCATCGTTGGAAGACGCAGATGCAACGCTTGATGACTGCGTCCCCGTCTTTCTCACTGGTAACGAACCCATAACGTGTGCCTCCATCGCGTGCCAAAATCAGCATGGATCGAATCTTCATTTCTACAGATTTCCTAAGCAGCCGGGGCGTTGCAAGGAATGGGCAGAGAATTGCGGCAACGGCTCGCTACTTGGTAAATCGACTGCTGAGCTGAACCAAAACCACTATTTGTGTAGTCTACACTTTGATTCGTCCCAGTTCCAACAAGGCGATGACTCCAGCCATTTAGTTCCAGATGCAGTGCCTACATTGTTCACCATAAGAGCCGGTGCGCAACACTTGGAGATGGACCATGATTACTCGGCTCTGGCGGCGCCAGATGAAACACCACGACCACCCGGGTTGCAGGGAGTCACCAAGCCGATGATAGTGAGAGTCGCAGCACCTCAAGGTATTTCGATCCTCAGAGCGCCAGCGGTGGACAAGCCACTTGCGCAAGCTATGTCGAGCTCGACGCTCGATGAATCGGAGAGTTCGGCCAATAGTGACTCGGCGCTTTCAAAACCGGTAGCCGCAATGAAACTCTCACCTTCGCCGAAACCAACTATCAGCTTGCAGCAACTGAAGGCCCTGACCGCCATACCACAGCAAAAAGCTTCTAGCGTGCCACAGCAAAAAGCTCCTAGCGTGCCGCAGCAAAAAGCTCCTAGTGTGCCACAGCAAAAAGCTCCCACCGTGCTGCAGCAAGAAGTTCCGACCGTGCCCCAGCAAAAAGCACCTGTTGCTGTGCCAGCACCACAGCGAAAGTCGCTGCTAACCAAAAGAAGGCTTGCTCCTACTCCGAAAGAAAGTCCGCTTCAAAAGTACATGCTCCTTTGCGCCGAGCTAAAGGGTGATCTTAAGTTCGTCCAGAAGCAAAAGGAAGGCCTGGAGACAATGTTTACTGGCCTTCAAGACGTGCTGATACAAGAGGCAAAAACGCTGCGGATGGAAGACATTGTATTAATCACGGGAGCTCTGGTCAAGTTCCAACAGGAGAGGTACCGTCGTGAGCCCATCAGCTCGGCCGAGAAGAGTCTCTCCGCACTTTGGCTGAAGCACACCCAGAAAGGAGACCCCAGCAAGGCCATGAAGCGCCCAGTCATTGAGATTGCCGTGTTTGTTTTTGACCACACGCTACCTGGTCAGATCATACTGGGCAGGCGGAAACAGCTATTAGGAGGAGGCCTTTACCAGGTACCCTGTAGTGAGGTGGAATTCGGAGAGACCTGGGAGGAAGCGGCGTACCGTGAGGTGCTTGAGAGCACCACCATCCATATTCGCGACATTGCCATCTGCTCTATTGTGGATACAGTTGAGCCCCAGGCGGACTACCACAGCGTGACCGTGTTTATGCGGGGTGTGGCAGACACCACGCAAACAGCACTGCCAACGGCAATGCAGCCTGACCGCTGTGATTCATGGCACTGGAGACCCTGGGACTCTCTTCCACCACCTAGTGACCTCTATTGGCCCCTGAGGGACTACCGACTGGAGGGTCTTCAGCCCTTTCCGTAACATCAGGGACGACATTGCTCCTGGCAGTGGTTGAAGTGTTGTAATAGTGCCTACGGTTGTTTTGTCTTCCCGGGTCCCTGATTGAAAAGCCTAGAATGAAGACTGTTATTCTGAGTCATTGTTGCTGGTAACTTTGATAATGCAAGATTGTAATGTGTTGTTTTACTTATGAAGTTATCTGCTTTTGCTTTGCACTTTGTTGTTTAAATAGAAAAAGTACATGGATCTGCCTGTTTTAACTCGCTGTAGTTCAGCACAGTGAAAACCCAAAATCAGGAAGCAAAACGTTGGGATAAAAATATAGAAAGGTCGCACACTCAGCTGCAGAGCTTATTGTCCACTTATGGTGTCTTTATAAACAAACTTCCCCATTAAACTTGAGTATCGCTTCCCCCTGCTTCCTGTCAGTGGGTCGCAGCACATTCCAACACTATTACCACATGTCATCACTAAAGACCTTGGAAATGAGTCCCAAGCCTCGAATCCCATCAGCACCACATAACTCGTTGGCAAACACATAATCCCAAAGACTCATTTCACACCACAGTCTCCCACTTTCCAAGCCAGGCAGTACTTCCCTGAAAGGGATAAAAAGCCTAAAGCCACAAAGGAAATTGAACATTCATTCTATTCACTCCATACAAAACAAAACAAAAAAGTGAACAGCTAAGGAGGGGAGATGTTTTAAACAAGACCCAATTATTCATTTGCACACTTCACGAGGACACGCCCAGAAATTGCAGAGTGAGGCAAAAAATGTGGGACGCTGATCACCTACAAAACGTTAGGAGTAGACATTAAACAATGCAGGCGAGTGCGAGGCCTATCTGCATTTTGTTAGAATTTCTTATTCCCTGGTCTCGTATTTTCAGAATGTTAAACTTCACAAACTTGCACATCTTTATAGTGTTACTTGTTCCCCTGTGGTTATGGTAATGAAGAGTGCCTGACATTTTTCATCTACTGAAGTGTTGTCTGGCCAAAAATCTTTTTTACACCCAAGGGTTTACAGGAGACTTGGCAACTTCTAAAACAAACTATGCTCGTTTTCACCTCAAGAATCGTAGTAAATAAAGTCTGGCTCTTTGCGGAGTTTTACTAATTTCCCCCTTTATGTAGAGAATTAAGATATGCGTAGGTGCATGTTAGGTATATGTTATCTTATCAAGACGTACAGGCTTCAAACGCCAAAAGCATTGCTTCTTCCTCTGACAACCAAATCTTGTAAGAACTATATCGCGCGGTGTATGAGCAATGCTCAAAACTTCCTTTCTTTCTTGAGGTGAAAACGAGTATAAAGGGAACTCAAAATGGCAGCCAATATTGCACCGAGCAGCTAAAGGTCTTTGGAAGTTTCCCATGTTTCTCTCTTAGAAAGGTGTTCTCTTCCTACTGTTATCAATGAAGTGGCTAATATAGTAAAAGCACAGTATATACAGGGTGTTTTTTTTTTAAGCTTAACATAATTTTTTTTCAAAAACCATGAAAGCTAGAATAATGCGGTCTGCGCAGGTGAACTACACGGCCAGGGGGACATAATATAAGAGACTAATCGTAACAATCAGTCCGCTAATTAGTTTAAAATTCAATAATGTATTTTTTAATTAATGAAAATAGACATATAGTTCCAACTAGAAACTTGCTGGGCATCATCGAAAACCCCTAAATCAGTCATTTTCAGAAAGACTTTGAGCGCGTGAGAAGCGTAGTAGTGCACTAAAGTTACCACTCGTGGAGCAGGTACAAAGCTAGCGGTTGCGACAAGACGCCCGCGCAATTTTTCCGTCTCTTATCTAGCCCCAGCCTTGTACCTGCTCCACGAGCGGTAACTTTAGTGCACTACCACGCTTCTCACGTGCTCAAAGTCTTTCTGAAAATTACTGATTTAGTGGTTTTCGATGACGCTGAGCCAGTTTATAATTGGAACTATGTCTATTCTCATTAATTAAAAAGTTAATGAACAAATTTTAACTAATTAGCCGACTGATCTTTACGATTAGCCCCCTATACTATGTCCCCCTGGCCGTATAACTCACCTGCGCAGACCGCATTAACCTAGCTTTCATGGTTTCTTTTTAAAAATTCTGTTAAGCTACAAACGCCCGGTATATATAGCTTGCACTGACATCACTTGGTCAGACATAATGGAGAAAAGGGCGTTAGAGAGGGTAGCTTCCGTTGCATTAACAAAACACTTCTGGCCACCAAAAAGAAGGGGAGACTAATGCCACGTGCAAGCCATGTATACAGTACTGTCAGACCTGTCGAAAAGGACAAAGTTATACTTTTATAGCTTAGTTATGAGATTCATTATCATGTATGCATTCTTTGCAGTACTGGCTTATGCTGTACCTTTGGGGCCAGCTGTCAATGATGATGCAAAACCTTTGTAATTTCATGCTTTTATGAACATGGTATCCATTTATTAATTGTGTTCTGTGTTATTTTGTTCACTCATGTACATGAATAAACTAAAGGTAATAGCAGGGGGGGATTTAGAGGGGGGGGTCCAGATGTCCTGACCCCCTCTTGATTTCTGCTTGTGTATAATTTAGGGCGTGAAACGAGGGAGAGGGGGAGGGGGTTTCTAAACCTATGGCATGCTGACCAACACCTGACCCCCCCCTCAGGAAGTTGCTGCATTCGCCCCTGGGTAATGGCATTACCGTTAGCTTATTACATTTAGTTTTAACTTTATTGAGTCTCTTAATAAATTGAATAAAGTCAACTGTTTTATGGAGATAACGAGGGCTTGAGGATATAACGTCTCCATAAATCTGAGATTGTGGGAACTCGCCGAATGGTTAATCATACCTCGGCCTCTTTTCCTATACTCCATCCCACAAGTTGTGTGCAGTGCTAGCAAGAGTGTCAAAGTGTAGCTGTCCAGAATGCTTTATGTGCATGCACACTTGCACATGGAGGACAGTTCATAGCCGTGTTAGCACTGCGGTGCTGGATCAAGTCTGTGTGTTTACCTTATCTTCATTTCTGTCTCCTCATTTTTTTATAATGATAATATCACAACTCTGTCGTGCTGCCGCTCGCCGTGATTCTGGTGGCAGCACAACAATAGAGGCGAATGCTGCAAACGTCTGTTCTGCTCTAGCTCACTGAGCTGCTTGACAGTTGACGGAAACTTTGCCAGTCACGGGGTGAGACACCTGTGACGACAGCTATGCTTGTGTATGCTCCCCACTTTTGCCAGCGCTTCTACAGCCAACTGCCAGGATTGCAACAATCCGTAGCCTGACATGCCAGTTGCCGTGACATATTTCGTTGCCCCTTCAGGGATGCTCCGATGCATGAGCAGTGTGGGGTGCTAAACAGACAGTTGGAAAGGTATTCCAGGCACTGCATACAGTTCTTTATGGAAACCTTGTTTATGTTACATGTAAGAAAAGCCAAAAGGAAGAAAAAACAAAGGCCAATCGTTCTGAAAGCCTTCGGAAGGAATCTCAAAATGGTCTGTGGTTAATTGTGTACTATCTCAGGTACCACCTTAATACATGGTGCATAATACTATTGGTGCCAGCCAGGGCCGGCCTTACGGGTGGGCGACCCGGGCAGTCGCCCAGGGCGCCATCAAAAGGGGGACACCTCCGTGCCCCCTTTTGAATTTTTTTAGCTGTGATTTATTTGACCACTGCGCCCGACACAATGTTATATGCTTGATCGCCATTCGTTTTTGGAATATGGTTCTCGTAACAATGCGATGTCATACCTAGTAGATAGGAACGTATAAGAAAGGGGGGAGCACCACAGCTGGAGTTTGCCCAGGGTGCTTGATAGTTTAGGGCCAGCCCTCAAGCCAGCTGCCAAAACTTAATGCGCACAGAAGGCAAGACATGCGCTTGTTCTGCCACTCTTTTATCTTCCCGTCGTCTGCTAGACGGAATGCAGTTGTACGACCGAGTGTCATCCAAGACAATGATGGCACCACATGCCTAAAACCCCATAATGCATTCGGAAGTAGTAAAACGTGCACGAATGCATGGTGTGCCGCGCACCATTCTTGGGAGAAACATGGCGACATGGCACTGAACCGAGTTGTAGAAGCATTATTTTTGCATAAGTTCTGCGTGAAACGTATCATGAGTGATTGCACAACCATGAATGGCAGTACTTTTACTTGTAGAGATTTTATGCATATCTACAAGCCCCTGTATGCATGCTGTCGCTCCTTTTGGGCAGCCAGTAATATATCATTATCGGTGATGGTGCAAGGATGAAAACCACAAAGTCAAAAGCAGAGATCTCCGCCTTCACCGATATAAAAGTTATAGTCGACGGTGGATGCCAGTCCTGTATGCTTTGCACCTGAGAACAGAAGCACTTCTGAGTGAATGGATCATGGAACAAAGATACTGTAACTGCGAGGTGATGGGGCACTGATGTCCAAGTGTGTTATGATTGCTGGCCGAGAGCGGCAAAGCGTGTCTTTTGAGCGTCCGACCTCCAGCACATGCTCCATGCCTTCCACCGTGCTTTGGCTTTGCGCACGTGCTCAAGGTGCACAAGATGCTGAAGCACTGTCGAAGGCAGGTGGAAGCGAGACGACTGAAGCTCCTCCCTGTCATTCTCAAATTATCAAAAGCGTTAGTTTACATATATGTAAACTAACACTTCTAAGGCACTTTAGACAGACTGTAAAAGTCAGTCTTTCAATGCATCGTGCTGAGATTTACTATACAGAGGTGCAAGCAGGTGGTGGAAGCTTAGAGTGAAAAAATCAAGGAATGAACGAACTTGCCTCGTTGAAAAAAAAAAACTCAAAAACCTGTTCTGGGCAATCTATGCCGCCACTTTGCAGACGATGCAGGCGTGGAGAGAAGTGGTGCTAACAGATGGCGAGTGCTTGTCGAGGGAGTGCCAGCCGATTCGGGTTGATAGCAACTAATCTCGCAAAGGAACCCGAGTCGGTCCGTGCTCCCTCAAAGCGGTGTACGCCATCTGTCGGCAGCACTTCTCTCTACGCGTGCGTTGTCTGCAAAGTGACAGCATAAATTGCCCGGAACAGTGTTTTCTTTTTAACGAGGTAAGTTTGTGTTTTGGGTGTTTTTTTTCACTGTACACTTCCACCACCTGCTTGCACCTATGAAGTAAATTGCAGCCCGAAACATTAAAAATCGAATTTCGCGGGCTGTCTGAAGTGTTTTAGAAGCGTTCGTTTACATGCTGTATATGAGCACTGCAGAACCCAGGAATCGGAGCACCCCTGTCGGTTCTGATGCAGACAGCTGAACTGTAGTAGCATACCACCATACTGATGTGATTGCTACGGTAGGATGCACTATGGTGCAGAGCTATTAGGCTCGTTTGCTTCACTTGCACCGGTGCAGGAGGTGCAGTTAAATCGAACAAGCCTACTGGTTCAATACATCATATTTGTTTCATACTGTCTAGGACAGTATGATACTGCGATACTGTCTAGGACAGTATCGCAGACTCGAGATCCGGAAAATAATTAAAACAACATAAATTAGAAAATATTAAACAAATAAGCCTAAATAAACATTTGATTATTGAGAGATCCATATCGGTCTGTTGCAGTTTTTTCTCATTCTTTTTAATACGTTTACGTTTTTCGTGCGCGTCCCAGTGGTCCCATGCCATTTCTTTTTCTCCTTTTTTTTTTTTTTTTTTTTTACGGGCACTTTTTTCGGTGTTTGTACAAGCGGGATACAAATTAACTTAATTTTTTATTTTTTTTTTTTTTCAATGGCAGTGTTGATATAAGATGAGCAATTTATGCAATATCAAACTTACGATTCGGATGTTACGAATTGCAGACTCCCCGCTTTTGATAGAATTTTCTTTCGGGTGCGGCGCCGTACGAGAGGAGGAGAGACCATAGGGAGAGACTGAGAGAAAGCCGCGAATGTCGGTGTGTAAGTACGGTGTGTACTAACGCCGCACGAGTCGTGCGAAGCGCGTAGCCGCATTTTTCGTTTTGTTATGGTCCGAGGCGTGGCGACGCCGTGGCGCGTCAGTCGGCAGCAGGTCGGCGGCCATAGCAAGCGCGAGATGGCGCTCAACATCGAGGACTGCAAATGCGCGTAAGTAGGCAGTAGCAAGCTTAAAGCTTTCCCTGTTCAAATTCTAAGTAATACGCGTATTTGAACACAACGCTAGAGCTTGATTAATTTCGCAAGCTTTACGAAGCGCTAAACACGGGGCCTTCTTTGTTAGAAGCGCACGTGATCGCGACCACTCTCCGCCGTTCGAAAGGCCTGCTCTCGGGTGTTTTTGCCAGACGCAAACAATAACGTGAGTTATGGCCAGCAGCTTTCACAGACGCGGCAAGCCGGTGTCGCGCATCATCCCGGGGATCAAGTTGTCTCCTTATAACGCTGAAACAGTTCTGTCTTGCGGGATTGCGACGTTAGATTACGTTCTCGGTGGCGGCCTACCCCTCGGCAGCATTTTACTGGCTGAGGAGGATGCGTTCGCTACCTACTGCAAGCAGTTGCTCAAGTACTACGTCGCAGAAGGGATCGAGCAGAGGCACGTCGTTTTCCTAGCCAGTGGTGAGACGGACCCGGTCAAGTTCTTGAAGGAACTTCCGAAAGCAGTATACGGTGCCGCGGACCCAACAACAAAAACCGTCGCAGCATCTTGCGGCGAGGGTGATGGCGACTTGAAGATCGCGTTCCGCTACCAACACATGCCGCAACAAGAACCTGTTCCGGACCAGAGAAATGTCGATCACATTTTCGACTTCGGAGAGCGAATCGAATCGACTAAGCTGGTTGATGCTCAGATAACCACGTTCGAGCCCTGCGTCGAGCGGAAAGTGTCGGGTGTTCGTAGATCCACGGCGGCACCTTTGGCGGGTGCCTACGTTTCTGTTCTCGGCGAGATATTTCAGGTTTTGGAGAAGTCAAAAGCAAGCGATGGAACCGTTCAGAACGCGGTCAGGATTATTCTCTGCGGACTTGGATCTCCTGCATGGGGCAACGAGCAATGCCTGCCCGCGTTTCTGCACGCGCTCAAGTGCCTGACGAGAGGCGAACACGCGAGCGTTTTCGTTACGGTACCGCCAATTTTGGCCCAGCACCAGCCCTCGGTGTTCTTGCGTTGCCGGCGATCAGCGGACATCGTACTGAAGATGCAGTCCTTCGACGACGCCGAGCGTGGTGCGAATCCCCTATACAAGAGTTACCACGGGCTCCTACAAGTGGTCAAGCTCTCTCGGACGTCGTCCTTGAGTGTTCGAATGCCGGACTGCGACTTTCTTTTCCACCAGAGGAGCAAGAAGTTTGTTCTGGAAAAGCTGCACATGCCTCCTGAATTAGGGGGCTCCAAAGACGATCACCACGAGGGAACTGGGGCCAAAGGCATGGGGTGTGCTAGTAACCAGAAGTTTGGTTTCTGAATATTGCTACAGGAATACAGCAAATTGTTTCTGAAAGAGTTCACTCTATCATTCTCCTGCATTGATTGCTAGATGCACATACTGGTGAAATTGTTGACTTGCACCCTGGGGGCGGAAGAACAATGTGCAAAGTAAGCAGAGATAAAGACTCAAAAGAAGGTTGAGACCTTTCTGTCAGCTATGTTCATTGTTCTTTCACCAGCTTGCCTACTTTTTATCCTTGTGTTTAATTCAGATGCTGATAGTTTTGCAACCGACATTGTACAGTTGTCTTCGATTGTAGAAAAACATGAGCAGTGACCTGCCGGCACTGCTAGTTGTGATGGTGCCTTGCTGGTGATTGGAGAGCAGGTGCATTTGTGGAGGAACTGTTGGGAAAGCCAGAAGCCAACTCTTCATTCCCAAAGATGCCTCTCCAAGATATTGATTAAACAGCACTCCCATGTTCACCCTCCTGTTAAATGCAACTGTCCCTTCTGCTATGCTTACATACTGAACATCTTACTCAAGGTAAGCAGTATGTAGGTGCAGTGAAGTTGGTTGAAGGGCTTCATTTACAAGCCTGTCCTATATGCAGTGTGTTTCTTTTAGTCTGTCCAGAATTCAAAAGAAAAAGGGGCATTTGTGTTGGGGTTAATTTATTGTCGGAAAAAATATTGCCCTCTTGCACGGCTTCAAACCGATGCTAAGCGGGCAAGGTGTGGTGTGATTGCAGTCAACTTTATTTGTGGAGCTGGCGAGATTGACATTGCTTGTGCCTTTTGCCCGCTTATTTTCGGTTTCAAGCAGCGTACAAGGGTGACATTTCTCGCCTTGTAGGTTGACATTGCTAGTGCCTTTTGCCCGCTTATTTTTTTCGGTTTCAAGCGGCATACGAGGGTGACATTTCTCGCCTTGTTGCGCCTACTGAATTTTTTTATCGAGATTTCAGTGCATGGCACGGCAAGGTGAGAACGGTTGGGAAAAGTTTCACTTATCCCACCGCCACTCGCCCTGTCGTTGATAAACGAAGAACCATAGGAGCGGAGACGGTGGCAGGTACTGTAGGCCTTGGTGCTGTTGTTACCACATTGTTCTGGTCATTGTGTTTGTGCATCGTGCAGTTTTAACAAAAAAAGTAAGTGCATTAAAATAAAAATGTTGTCCCGCTTTGCAACTTTTACAAATCAACATGCTTATTTTTTTATTACACATCAACATCTCGGTCACTTGTGATGTGCTCCTGCCCTGACCGATTCATATTTGTAACCAAGTGCATTAATTTTAGCACACTGACCAGTGAAATCTAGCAGGCGCATGGGAAATCCTGGAAAGTCATCCCAGTCTCTTCCGCCATTTTTAAACTGCTGCCTAACCATATATGGACCGTTGAAGTGTTATATGATTGTATTGAGAATGACCATCGATCCTCAATATAGATTATGCCCCCAAACTTGAAAATTTTAAAATGTTAATTGAAATGCTTCGTTGATTCGCTAATTCACCCATATTGTCTCTTTTCTAGTGGTTTCCATGGCCCCAATTTGGCCCCAGGGCTAAAATAACACGTATGCAAGTTCCTTATTCTTCATTCTGGACCGACTAAAAAAAAATGCCCTGCATAGTTTGTATTGTTAGTCAACACAAACAGTTGTGTGCTACTGACTTCATGCTTTGTGTATTATCACCTTGCTGTCGGATGCATAAAGTATGTAGTAAATATTTCTGACGTCTAATTTCATCATGTCTGAAGGTACTTGTTGTTTTGCTGAGAATTGTGAGTGTAAGACAGAAAAATAACCAGTCTATTAGGGATTGGATTTGCAATGTCTTGTTGCTGATTTTTACATGCAACAAGACATTTAAAGAATGTAGGCAGAATGGCTGTTGTTATTCTGCATACATCTTTTGGACTTCATTCGGAGTGTTAGCAAAAAAGCAGGCATACTCCAGAATAGTTTACCTTCTTTTTTGTACGAAGGCAGTCCATTTTAAAAATGTTTTTGGTTTTGCTGCAGTTCTATGGAGTGGGGCACCTATACCCCTTTTCTGTGGTCTCAGTAGAGATGCACTGTTAATATCATAGGGACTGACTCCTTTTAATATATGGTAAGCTTGGGTGTGTTTGTGAGCTTAATATTTCATGAATTCCCGAAATTGTAGTGCGTTGGATTCTAAAAGACATGAGAATCAGGTGCCCATGTAAAATGAAAATAATTAAGTAAAAATGAGTTTGGTTTGGCTTTACAGGGACACTGAACTCCCCCTGAAAACTATTTTTTCTAAGTACCTGGACAGTATACGGACCTCACAAAACAAGGTTTCCCCGACAAAGTCTAAATTGGCACAATATTTTGGTTCCAAGGCCCATGTTGAGTTTTACAATGTTGGGATGACGTGCCAATATAAAAGCAAGTTCTGGAATCACTCCTCACTCAAAATAAGTCCAACAATGTAAATATTGTGCTTTCATTTTTGTCTTTTTTTTTTTTTTTTTTGAGGGGTGGGGTTAATTTGTGAAGTATGTCTACAGTCCAGACAGTTAAAAAATTTTTTTATGGATTTCAGCATGTCTCGGCACTATTCCAAAACAAGCTTCTATTTCGGGTCGACGTGCTGAAATATCAGAATCACTCCCATGTCTTAATAGGTCTTGCAACTTGCGATATGTGCACAAAAAAAAAAAAATTAAAAGGGGGGGGGGGGGGAGGGGGGATTGTGAAAAATGCACGTCTTATTGAAGCGCTTAAGAAGTTTTTTGGGAGTATGATGTCCCGTTCCCTTTAAGCATTTTGCACATTTACTCTGATTTCATTTGAAGGTGCGTGGCTTTTCTCTGTGGGGCCGAAAATATTTTGTGATTGCAAATCGCTGATAATCATTCTATGGTTGCCTCGCTGTGTTATTTGAGGTATGCTACAAATGAAGCACCCTGCTTTGGTGCCATAATAGCTACAAATATCTGCTTGTCGATTTCAGACATCAACTAAGGTTGCTCGATCCTCTACACTGCTAAACAGTTTCAGTAGGCAACCAACCTTAATGACAGGAGCAAAATTCACCCACATTTTAAATAATGCATAGTCTTGCTGAAAAAGGATGAGAGAGTAACAGCTTACTTTTCATTTCACTCTCGTTTGTAATTATATTTCGTGCTATGAAGGCATGCAGAGACTTGAAGAACTTTGTCTAGGTTTACATTTTAGTAGTGATAACAGCAAAGTTTAAAGTACAATTTTTTTTTTTAAGCATTATTTTTAATTGTCCAGTTTGAGCTTTAGCAATTGCTCTGGCCTTTGGCTTAGCGAAAGTGTTTTCTAAATGTACCAAGAGAGTTGATAACTTTAACACAACTTTCCTGGTGGTGTGACTTTTGTGGGTGTTACAAGTTTCTTTTTCATCTTTCTACCACAGGGTTTTGAATCTGGGTAAAGCTTCGAAAGTAACTGCATAAATCGGCTTGGTAACATATTGCGCTACAGTTTACCACAGGTGCGTAAAGGTGGAAGCATCGTATGAATGTTTCAAAGAACAAACTTACCTGAGTAAAAAATATAAGGCCGTAACTGGTTTTCTCTGCCTACAGTGCCCGTCTGCTAACCGCACCCCCTCTGACTGGTGCAACAACCGACAGATGACGGTAGCAGTGGCAGCCACCTGTTCAGGCCAAATGCAGACAATCTTTTCTAATCATAAACAGTGCACGCTTTTTCAGTGCTCTAATGGTTAGTGCATGATTTCATTTACATTCTCAATAAAACATTAAATTGACTCAAAACAAATAAAACCGACGATTTGTCGAGTAATTTCATCTACGTGTCTACTTTCGGCGGGTCTGGGCGGTTGCTGAGCTGCCATAAGCCACCGGGGTCGCTACCGCCATCTGTCAGTTGTGCCAGTCAGAGGGCGCAGTTAGCAGACACTCACCGTAGACAGAGAAAACCAGTTATTTACTTTATACTCGCGCAAGTTCGTTCTTTGAAATTTTGATGCGATGCTTCCACCACCTTCAGGCACCTCTGTGGTAAATCGTAGGGCAATATCTTACCAAGCCGATTTATGCGGTCATTTTAAAGGCTTCACCCAAGTTCAGGACCTCGTGGTATATTAACGAAAAATTGAGTGTCAAACCCTAGTATTGATTTTATACATGTGTTTATTTTGCGGTGAAGAAAATAGTCATTGAATAGTTTAGAGCAGGGGTCTCAAACACTTTTGAGCATAGGGGCCTGATAGCCCACCCCGAAAGATTGAAGGCTAACGTAAGGCAGGGAGGTCAAGATATTTTATAGACTGACGCACTGTTTACAAACAAGCCCACATTTGCCCACACCAGGAGTGGGCACTGCGCGAGCGCAGAAACCAGATTCGCGTGAGATGAAGCTTTTGCGCATGCGGCCGTGGCTGCAACAGTGCCACCACAGAGGCGTGACATTAGTGTTGGTGTATAGAGAAAGAACCTTGAGCTCTCCGCTTTTTGTAACTTGCAGTTTTGACTGTGCCATCTTTAGCTTTAATTTGTTTATAGCACTATTTTTTTCCTTAAGTGGTGTGATAACAAAAATTAAACTGGCACCGGCCCACCATTGTGCTGGTCTTTGTAAGAGAACAAGAGAGCTATCCCACTGTCATTCCCGTTGCTCAATTAGCTCTGGAATTAATCAAGCTCAGCATGTCGAAAAAAGTCTGCATTTGACAGTATTTGTTCTTCTGACGATTTTTATAACAGTCTGAAAAAATACTTATGTTTGAAGGGTGATATTTTCTGAAGGCAAATATCCGAAACTTTATTTATTTTTGGCAGTTGCACCTGCTGAGCAAGAGTTTGTGCAGCTGAAGTGCATCCTTGAGCGAAGAGCTTGCACTTGCGGCCTAGTAGTGGAATTTCATACATGTGATAAACATGATAAAAAGCTGAGAAGCAAAAATGAAAACGAAACACAAGTCAAATGAAAACAGAATAGTATAAATTATCTGGATATGTAATGAGAGCAGAGTTACGTTTTGAGTGGAAATGAATCTGCGACATATGGCGCGTGCCATTTGTAGCGCTTGAGAAATGGTAACGGGGGCTCACAGCCGTTTCCCTGCAGGCCGCATCTCGGCGAGTTGCGGGCCGCATGTTTGAGACCCCTGGTTTAGAACCTGCAGAACTGTTTCAAAGGTTGCAATGCCTTATAAATTTTGATGCAGTCAGTCAGGTGTCTTTACCTTTGTATTTTGTATTTCTCAAGAGACTTTAAAGATCTTTTGAAGATATGAGGTAAAATAAAAAATTATCTGGACAGTGTGTCTGATTGTGATTTTGTTTTATAGGTCTGCTTTTATTTATGTATGCATATTTGAATTGTTAGAACTTGATCAACTTACACTGAAATTTCACCAGAAAATTTAAGATAATCTTATGCTCATTTTTGTGGGATACAAAATATTAATCCCAGTTAGAGTTAAGTAGTTGTGACAGTACCATGGTGTGTGCAAGTCCTCAAATCACGAAAAATGGAAAGTGGTTGCTTGGGGGGGCATGGAGTGCGTATATATGGGCTGTTGTAAGGTGTCTGCTATGCAGTAGCATTTTTTAAGTCTGTATGTGCATCATGGAAACTATAGTGAGTACTTGCTTTCAAGATTTTACAAGTATATCCTCTTCTCTTGTAGGGAACTTTGAGAAAATCTTCGAAGGGAGCACCCCGACACCAACATCTAGAACAGCTGAACTAGTTACTAAAAGGTAGGTTCTTGTATCCCAAAGAAGCAATCTTTGGAGTGTGCCATTACTGCAGATACATTATTATGCATTTTGAAGCTTATGAATTACAAAGTGTGGCCGTCAATGTTCTTTTGCATTGTAACTGGAGCTATTGGCACAAATGAAAACCACACTGAATTTGTGCCTTCAAAAGGGGTAGTACCATAAAGACCATCCTGTAATGACTGTGGAAAGGCGCCTTGGCTTTTGTATTCGTCGTATGTCGAAAAGCATGTCTTGAAGCATTATTATAAATTTCGCAGGGTGTGCAGAATAGAGCATTCTGAAATCGTCTTGATTAGTTATGTAAAAAGATCCATCCCTGGTGGGACTTAAACCCAGTCCAGAGATGATGTGCAAGGCAAGTATACAACCAACTTAGCTGCACTGACAGAATTCTCACATCAATATTCCAGGGAATACTACATTTGACTTATCAAACTGATAAAAAAACGCACAAGCAGACCAGCCCACCAAACTGGACTCCCGCAGTTTTGCTTCAAATGGTGAAGACACACCTTCAAGTGAACCTTGTTATCCACTTTGTCCACTGGAGGAAGTGGCTTGGTCCACCTTGTTATCCATATCCTTTTGCACTGCTTGCGAAAGGTGCAATTCACACAAAAGGTTAAGACTTGGGTAGTGCACACCATCAAACCTTTGAATACATTAAGCTACTTCCATAAATCCCTGCATGCAACACTGCACACATAACGTTCTGGGAACCAAGTGGCTATGGAGCAGAATTGCATGGTTTCAGTTTCGATAGACTCATCGACACATCGTTACAAGGCTATATGTATCCGCTCCGTGCATGCCGCTATGGTGCCACTTTCTCGTGCCATCGGAGCCTCCTGTGGTCGGTTTAAGAACTAATGATATGTTCCCAAGTGGAAGTGGCAGCTTGCGGAAGTTGCCAGGAGGCGCGTTTTTGCGACTCAACAGAATAAACGACCCTGTAATATATTTTGGAACGAGGCGTTTCAGGCTGAGAAAGAAGCATTATGCTGGCAATCACCTGTTTTTACTGGAAAAGGGGGTGATTCACGCCGCAGCAAGCAGCGGGTAGGCAAAATCTGGGCGAAATGTAATTCAACGACGACCATTTCCTTTGTTTGTTTGTTTTTCCTTTTAAGCATGATGTTTTACCCAGGGGATTTTTTTACGCCGCCTCGGCTTAGTAAGTTGTTTAGGTTTTGAGACTTTTTTTTCCCTTCACTGTGCCTTCCGCTGGAAAGATGATGCGTCTGCAGAGTTCTGAATCTCGTTGAGGTGTGGAAGGACGGCTGAAATGATCTATGGAAACTTCCTAACCTGGCTATGAATCGCACTCGTAAAGCCACCATGCATGACTGGCACAATGCGGGATCGCGTTTGCGATTCTGTCGGCACCTGTGCCCTGAGCCTGGGTAACACAATCACTGTGGCCAATGTCGACAAGGCCAAATAGAATCGACGAGCTTCTCGATTTCTTCTTGATGCTTCTTGATTTGTGCAACAAATTAAGAAGCATGATTCAAACAAATCATGCTTTTTGATTTGTGTAACGAACGCAAACAAATTGCAAAATAAGTGTCTAGAATGTATTCATAAAGAAAAAGGTTTAGACGTCTTAGCCGGCAGAAAAATAATTTACACACTTCACATGGGGGTCTCATGAAAGATTTCAGGGACATATTTTTTGGTGTAAAGTGCTGAAGCCATGTTAACCATCACGCAATCAGGTTGCCCTTCTTTTTTTTATATATATATTTAAAAAGACTGGTGACTAGGCAGGTGGTGAGCAGTGATTCCCTAAAAAGACTAGGCAGGTGGTGAGCAGTGATTCCCTAAAAAGACTAGGCAGGTGGTGAGCAGTGATTCCCCTACACACCCCCCTCCTCTTCCCTTGTTTTTCTAAAGGCACCCTGTTAATTTGCAACGACTCCTATTCTCAATGCCCCCCCCTCCTCCCCGCTTCCTAAAAATTTAGACCCCCCCCCCCAATTTCAATTCCTAGGGAAACCCCTGGTGGTGAGGCTCTTTTCGTTCCCCACGAAGTAAGCGCTTCAGGACTTCTAGCTTCTTCCTTCACGAACTGCCGCTAGAGCTTTGCACCAAAATGGTGGCTGGTACCAGCTAACTGTACTCTAGTGCCAGTTGCAAGCAAATCTGCATCGTGGGGACTAGGTAAAAATTTTAAAAATGACACGGTTGTATTCTCACTTCTTTCACTGTCACATACATATTTCTGGGCCCTTAGGCTCGAACAATAAAGGTCACTTGTCTGATGGCGGCTGTACATTGACAATTTTCATGCCTTTGTCCTGCGTCGGGACATGACAGACACGAACGAAGCTCATGTGGTGGGTCACACCGTGGAACCGCTGAGATTCGTTACCGTCGACACTCCGCCTGGTCCACTTCCTACAGCTTGCCCGGAAATCGCTAGAATTTCACAAAGGTTAGCTTATTCAGCTTTATTCATTCAGCCGTTGAGGCAGTCGTATGCATAACAAAAAAAATCAAAGGTTATTTTTTTGTCCACACTGCTGCAGACAACATAACGAGGCTTTGGAAACGCTGGCTTGCCCGCGAAAACGGAGCGTCGGGAACATACCAATAGTTCCTATTTTGTCCACTAGATGGTGCCACAGGTTTTTTCTAAACACCAGCGCACGGAGCATATAGCATGGACCATAAAAAGCATTCAAATTTCTATTTCTTGCATTGGTGTCTCGTAGACTTCCTGAGCGCATAATTTTGTGGCCTTTGAAATAGTTTCAGTGCCATATCTCGATGCTTCAGGGGGTTTCCATATCAGATCGTACAATGATTTTCCGTGTGATTTTTTTATGTTTATGTAAGAAATATACGTAAAAGCCATGTTCTTGGGAAAAGCATTCAGCTACTGTATGCAAACGCCGTAACTAATTTTCTTCCGGAGATATAAAATTTCGAAGCTCGAGGCATGGAAATTGCCAAGGTTACATACACTATGGTACTTTCCACAACCATCAATATCACACCAAAGCATGCATGTGGTAACAATTTTTTCTATTTATTTTATGACAGATTTTACTATATGTACACAGAATATTAGAAATTACAATGAAATATTTCTGTACAAAAAAAGTTGACAAAACACATCAAATTAACATGTTTTGGAGGCACATTCGCAAATTATTTTCCATCAAACTACTTCATATAAAACAATCCAAAGTATATCAAAATAATTATTTTTAAATGCATTTTACAATTTTATAAGAAAAATATGCTGTGCTTTTCTTGTAGTTTTAATTAATGCAGAAACAGCTCATTTCTCTAAGTGTGGCAAAATTGCACATCCATATTTAAAAAATACGTCTTTTTTTTTTTTAACTCTTTAAAACCATTCACGGGGACTTAACTAACTTGTGATGACAAAACATTGAGTAACATATGACCTCCTCAAAAAACCCTGAAAAGAAATAAAAAACATTTTAAGTCTGGTTGAGACACGTGCATGAAAAAACTAATATTACGCGAAAAAAAAAAATTTTAGAGCAATATTGACGGCGCAAGATGCGATTTAGTCAGCAGTCACCTCCTTTCCACTTGTTTTCTTTCGGCATTTCGGGCGCGTGGAGGAGAAATGGATCAGCTTCGCTTTCACGATCGAGGTGATCATTCCGGAATGACCCGTGACGTCATGGACTTCGCGCACAGTATTTCAAAACAATCTCTCGCCATCAATATTTCTCTAAAAAAATTTTTTTCTCTTAAATTTTTTTTTATTTTTTTTTTATTTGCGTGTTCCTACTAGACTGTTCTAACAAAACATTTTTTTTCCTTTTCTGGGGCCCTTTAAAGGGCAACTCCGCTTAATTTTTGTTCTTGAAAAAAACAATCGAGTTCTTTTCAGTATCGCCTAGGAGGACCACACGTCAAATATTATGATTTAGTTCTGTCTAAATGTTCCTTAAACGGTCCCCGGCAAACTTTGGAACGAGCCAAGTTGCCGAAATTGGCCGACTCTAGCAGGCGAATTGAGGTGCAGTCAACAGCACAGTCAAGGCTACGGTGTTGGCGTAGCCAACATTGAGCTAAACGGCATCAAGATTACTCCTAGCGCTCTGCGGTGTCCATGTGATTAGCATAACGTGCCTGCGCAGTGCACTTCTCGGCCTGTACAGCGGTGCTGCTCTATCGTAGGGTGGAGAAAGTTATAATGTCCCATAGTTCAGCTTTATACTTTTTGTTCCTTGTGTAGCCTCCTAAGAACCCCCCCCCCCCCCCCCCCCCCTTTTTTGTCAAAACTCGTCGAAATTGGGTGTTTTCGTGTTTTTTTTTAAGCGCCGTAAAAGGTTGCACATGCCACATATCTTCATAGTGTGGGCGAAACAATAGTTATACCTTTCAATTTATTAATTATAAAGATAATTACTAAATGTAATAGACTGGCGCCCGGAAAGCTGTTTCACGGCTGCCCGAGTCTCGCGTCCGCCTGCCTGCTGGTGACATACATGGGTAGGGAAAAGTAGGGATGTTTTATTGTTACCAGTAGAGAGTCGGCTCCTGGAACCTTCGTAGCCAGGGCAACTTGAAAATTCAATAACTTTACGGAAAAATTTTATTTTTATAAAATATTTTGGTAATCAGTAGAGAAAGGGTTATTGATGCAATCTGCCACATTCCAACCAAATCGAAAATGTTAGAAATATCGGCAGAGTCCCCCTTTGAAGATAACCATTTTAATATATGTTGCATTGTTTTATACAAAGTAGTTCACTGGTAAATAATCGGTGAATGTCTTAAACATATTTCTTTGACGTGTTTCTTAAATTGTTTTGCATAGAAGTCTTGTCGTAATTCTTAATGTTCTGTGTACATGTTGTAAACCTTTCATAAAGTAAATAAGAAAAACTATTATTACATGAATACTTTGGTGTGAAATTGACAGCTGTGCAAAGTACCATAGTGAAACCTGGGCAATCTCCACACCTTGAGCTTTGAAATTTTATATCTTTGGGAGAAAATTAGCTATGGCGTTCGCATATAGCTGAATGCTCTTCCCAAAAACATGGCTTTAACATATATATTTTTTTTACATAAATATAAAAAAAAAATATGATTCAGTCCATCATTGTACAATCTGATGTGGAAACACCCTTCAGCACTAGTCCAAACCATGCATAGAATTTCTCTTGGTTCATGCTTTTTCAGTTTTTTGTACTGGGGTACTTCTGTCAGCGTTTCCTGATATCTGGCGACGCCAAGTCTCAGCATCTTGATGCCACATAGTTCAAGATCTGTCTCGAGCAGGAGCCCACACACATTGTGACAACCTTCATGTTCATAAATACAAGAATTGTTTTGCGTTTGCTTTCCTCACTGTGTGAGTTTACCTTGAGTATTTTAGAGCCACTGTTAAGACATGGCCTGCAACGGCTGTGAAGGCTTAGTGAGAGATATGGATTGCTGCTGCGTGCTGACTGTCTGGTATGGTCTCCATTGCAGCCTATTTCAGTGTTTGTGAAAACTTCATTTCGAATCACTATAAATTTTGGGAGGGAGATATTTGTTGACATAAGGAAGACTTTGTAGTTTATTTTGTGCAGTAGTAATAGTGATGTTATTGCATTTCGTAATTTCATCTGCCAGCGACAGGCACAGCTACGAGCACAGGAGTGCACAGCTTGTTTTTCGCTTAACACGAAGCGACAGGTCGTCGACTTCTAGCAAATCAAAAACTTTTTAAACTTTGAATGACTTAATTTCAGTTGTGGTATACAACACTAGATGAGATTGTGAATATTGAACTCAAAGATGCAATCGTGTTGCGAGGCAAGTTGGCCATCGTCATTCTACTCTGGTATACCGGGAACCCGAAATAGAAGTGCGCTAGACTTTCTTCCACACTGTTCACCAACACCTACAGTATTATAAATTTGTCGGAATTCGCATAATTGGAAATGCAAGCAGTGAATTTAATTGCGACGTGATGTTGTGAAAGGAAGTCGACCAATCGCAGCCTAAACTCAGTGGCTATATGGTACGCAGAATACATTGAGTGGTGCTTTACTGCTAAGGGAGCTTCGGTTTTTGAATAGGTCTCTTGTGCCATGCTGGGCTAGGCAAGGAGCTCTCCAGGTGCAGTGAAAGGATGGCAAACTTCCATGTGGAATATAGCAAGCACACTCACAAAACAATGACACTGCAGTGTCATTGTTTGTGAACATTTCTGGGGCCATCATGATGGCCCCAGAAACGTTCCTCAAAAGGTTAATTTTTCGTTTTCATTGAATGCAAACTTTTTCAGTGCATTGCTAACAGAAACACTTAGAGTAAAATGTTTTGGCAGATACAAATTCACAAGGAAAGTTTTTTTACTGCAAGACTATTGGAAGTTGTGGTACTCAATCTCTAGAAGCTATTCAGTTTTTTGTTCTTTCTAATAAATTCATAATGAGGAAATTAGCGCAAATACAAGGAAGGAAGAAAGAACGTTAGGACAGGAAAGAGCGCTTTCTTCCTTCCTTGTATTTGCGCTAATTTCCTCATTATGTTTAGCCAACTAGCCCACCAGATGATTTTAATGCTAATAAATTCATCCTCAAGTCAGTTTGTTTTGTAGTTGCTAAGAGTAAAAGTCATTGCACATAATAGTTTTTTTTTTTTTTTTTGCAAAACTGCCTGTTTGGCATTTTACAGCATTACCATCTCCGTCCATGCTTGTACAGTTTCGCATGTAACCACCTTCCAAACTCGTTCTGTACCACTCTTTTATTTCAGAATTGTGCATCACGTTTCAGTGACTTGTGATTCTGATGCAGTCAAGTATCATTACTATATTGCATTTAGTATGATCTGGGGCCTGAATACAGCTCTCACAGAATTATAGAAAATTCAGCTGTTTTGGGACTTTTTTCCAGGCATGGTTTGCCTAGATTATCCTCTTTGTGACTGATCAGGGTAGATAGTGTGCAACTAACCTAATCTGCATGTGAGCATCGATGATAGAGGTTTTTATGTGTAGTGTGTAACATTGCAATGTCATTAATTAGTCTTCAGCAAAAAAAGTCAATTATCATGGCAGTATCAGCAGTCAAGTGGTGCCAGTGACATTCGACCTCGCAGTGATGTTCATGGCATAGGTCTACCTGTGTCACAGTCTGACAGGCTCTGTATTCTATTAACAAGCAAGCAGTGCAAATACACGGAGGAGGAGACAAACATACCATAGCTCTGTCTCCTCTTTCTTCTTTGCACTGTTTCTTTTCAAAGAATGGTCTACCAACTAGCCCAACTGCGAACACTAGATAGTCGCTTCATATCTGTATTTTGAACGAGGAAAAGCAAACTTTGTAAGGCTCTAGTGGAATGAAAACTCTAAAGTGGTTACACGTTAGATTGTCACAGACAGTACTCATTTGTCTTGCAGGCAATTCTTTTTGTTCAGTGTATCTGTTGTCATTTCGGCTTGTCTACATGCCACCCACCACCTATGGTTCCAAGTGCATGCTTCAAGATACTCTAGTACAAGGGTCAGTCAAATGAAGGCCTTAGATATTTTGTTTGCTCAAAATTTAATGAAGAAAAAGTGGTACACATCACTGTTATTTTACAGCTTGGTCTGCATTCCGCTCAATGCAAGTCTTCTAACAAATGCACAAAATTTTGTAGCAAAAAGTTTTGGTTGCATGCAGTCACCCCTGCATCGCCTGTTGCACCCCCTCATCAAACCGGAAATGCTTCCCCATGACCTCCTTGAGTGGTTCAAAAATGTTATAATAACTTGGGGTGAAAACCTAGACTGAAGTTGACAAGCCAAGCTATTTCATTCGCCGTCACTCGTCGATATTACAGAATGATGCCATCAACTGCTGCAATCGGCTCTGGTGTCACCACTTGGTGTGTCTGACCTGGTCGAGGAGAGTCTGTCACAGAAGTCGCGCTGTTTTGGAACTTCCTAGTCCATTCATACACTTGCTGGAGTGATAGACAAGCGTCACTCTGCTGCAACTTCATTTGATGATGGTGCTGTAATTCTCCTCTAACACCGTGACTTTACCAGCGCACTTTATTTCCACAAGCATTTGATGGTCAATTTCAGTAGTTTTCAGTAATTAAAAAACTATGACAGGACACTGTTCCTCCTCGGTGCATGTCTCAAGTGGGACAGCCATCTTGACACTCGTACTGTGACGTCATGCTGGTGGTCAGCACTTTGCTACCACCTGTTGAACACTCTTTTAATTATTGGAAAGAGGGCTACCAACTCATGGGACTATGGCACCAGGTTTCAAAATGTTTTTACATTTTGAGGTTCCCATTTTACTCACCCTCGTATATTGGCTCATCTATGCTGTAATAGCCTGTGATGCCCTGACTTTGTGTTAGTGCAACTTACAAATGCAATTTTTTTCCAATTCTAGATGGTGCCTCTAATTCTGGTGTTTTCAACTTGCTGCAAGAATCGTCTGTCTACTGTCACTGTAAGTATGATTAGCATAAAAAGTTGTATGTGTGTTTTTATTACACATCTCTTTTTTGAGCATTGTCCCAACATGGTTAGTCTGCGTCTGGTATTATCCTTGGAAGATGAGTCTCTGCATTTGTCACCCGTGTTTGTCTTACTACCTATGCAGTATGCGATTTGATTACAAGGTGGCATGTGTTATACCTAAAAAAATTTCTAGTTCCTTGAGAAAAACGTTTCAGGCAGTGCGTGCTCAGCATTTTATTGTAGCTATTTTGATACCGCTGCCTGTAGAAGATTTTATTTTGATATTTACTTAGTGTCACTGTCATAAAAAATTATACTTGTAGATTTACTTAGTCACCATCAGAGCCAGAAGCATTAGAAGGGCAGGGGTTATGTTTTATAGACCGACATGCAGGCCTGACGTCACGGAGCTGCGGCGGCGCTGTGATCGCGCCGGAGCCGGGGGGTGTGGGCAAAAGCGCGCATGTTTCACATGGGCGTCGTAGCATTTCAGCATGCTGCGAAGCTGTGTTGCCGTTAATTGTGCCAAAATGTACAAGAAAAGCAGCAGAGTGAGTTTCCACAAGTTCCCGGCAGACTCTGAAAGGCATAGAAGGTGGATAATATCCATGGATCGAAAAGTATGGTCACCTCGCGCGAACGACCGTTTGTGCGGCAAACACTTCCTTGAAGGCAAGTGCGGCTTCCATTTCAATCTCCATCCCGAGGCTTGCTTATATGCACGGAAACCGTTGTCTGATCGAGACCACCCGGATTTTGTTCCCATGGTGTTCGCGCACAAAGCACCGGCCAAGCACTCGTCAGAGGCTCGTTACGCCCATGCTACCCAGCAGAAGGGGAACGGCAACAGAACGGCAGTGTTGTAGGCGTTACCGAAAAAAAGTAACGAAATACGTTACTCGTTACTTGCAAATAAAAGGTACGCGTTACTGAGCTACGTTACCTAAAAATAAAAGGAACGCGTTACCGCTACTGATAAAAAGTAACGCACGTTACTTCTGATTCTGCATTACTTTTTTAAATTATGATTTAACACATCTTACGGTTTTGACGATACAGGTAATATATCAAGAAACATTATGTTCATGCAGAAACTGAACATAATTACTTTATCTCTTTTTATGGTTTCACCTAAATACTTACGAAAAAAACGCACAGAAAATCATGGCTTGACGCCTAAAACACGTAAAAAATTGAAGTGTATTTTCTTTAGGACTTAGGAAGTAGTAACGAGTAACGTAACTATGTTACTTGAAATAGTAACACAAGTATGTTACCCGTTACTCTGTCAAAAACGTAACGAGTGGGTTACTACGTTACTGAAAAAAGTAACGCGTTACCCACAACGCCGTTACTTGTAACCTGTTACCGCCAAGACTGCAGAACGGACAGAGCGTTACTGCTTGTCATGCCTTGTGGTCATGAGGGCAGGGAAGATATCATACCTTGACTTGAAGACGCTGTGTGTATTTAATCAATTAATGAATACACACACTTCCGCGGACCCACAGGCTGCTGATCCCGCCGGCAGTGCGGAAACCAACTCGAAGTAATCGTAGACCTCGAGAGACGTGTACGCCTGCACCGTGTCGGCCGTGAACTGGCTTGGCGAAAAAACTAAATAAACGACGACGTGAGCCATCGACGTTGGTAGCAGCAACTTTACGTCAGAAGTCCAGCAGGTCTTGTTTATACGGCGTACGGATCCTCGTAGTCAACGCCGTCAACGCACAGTTTGTTTCGATACCGCTGCCGTTCAGGCTCGGGCAACGAGCTCAAATAGTCGGGCATAGCATACGACATACGTTGTAAGGAAATACGACGCACAAATAAAGATACAAGTGTCCCTACAACGTTAACAACGAGCGCACGCCATAGAGCGCAATGGCGAAAACACGGAGAGCCGGGCTGCTTTTGCCCACATAGCTACCGCACATGCGCGGCCTTCCGGCCGTGTTGGTAAACAGAGCCGCTCCGCGTGTCGGCCTATAAGAAAAAAAAAAGAATAAGAACAACAAAGCATACAGCAGCAGAAATAATATACAGTAGTTAGGGCTCGCTACAACAAAAGGTATGTCATAGCAGTTTGAAAACTTACATTATTAGGGATTTCGGTGATGATTTGGGAGAAATGATTCATCGTTGGGAGTGCTAGGAATGGTAGACTCTGTCGTGTTGTGTAGCGAGGGGCGACTTACGGGAGCAAGACAGACACACATGCGACGCTTAGGCAGCCATGTTAGAAGAATGTTTATTCATACCCGTGTTGCCAGCGTCTTGGGCAAACCTTCTAGTTAACCTATGTGTTCACAGATGGCAGCACTATCCCAGACTCATGAAAAAGTTTGTGCGACAGAACAGAATGTAAGTTTATAATGGTAATTGATGCATCCGATAATGTAAGGCAGGAGGGCACATATGAGCGGTAAAACTGGGCACTGCGCGAAGCGCTCGCTGCTCGTCCCCCGCTAGGTGCACCACAGCCGAATTACAGGCACACCACGCTGCCTTTTCTGAACCGATCAGACCCAAGCACTGCAAGGAAGTTACATGGGGACAAGAGCACCGATTGCGATGAATACTGCCGCGCGGCGCCCATTTTCATCGCTGATGTGTCCCCTGCCTTAGGTGTTGCTAGTAGGCTCTCCTTAAAGGGACACTGACAGGGTATTTATGCTTGCCAAGGTTTGTATTTGTACATGGCATATGAGAGGCCAACTAACCAGAACACAATTTGCAGCTCGAAATTCGTCTTCTTTCCGCCCAAAAACCGCCGATTGAGAACTGGCCGGCTTGAGTCACACTCCCACTCTTCTCCGTGGTCATGTGCCATTTTCTATAATTTTGACTCAACCACCAAGTAAAATCAAAGTCATGAGTCATCAAAGGCACACACACTCAATATTAAAAACAGAAATGATATATGATACCCATTTTTTTGTGGCTTCTAAAAAGCTGCAAATATGTTTATTAAAAAAAAAGTTGCACAGCCACGTGATTTTTTGACAACACTCCTCTATATTTGTTCTTCCTTTCCAGTTTGGGTTTGGGTTTCAATGAAGGTGCGCCCACGGCTGGTCAGGGGCGCGCCACAGTCGCCATGCTTTAGAAATTGCAAACCTTTCTAGGGCGCTTTCAGCATGCGTTTTGCCGAAGGAAAAGTGCCCTATGAAGCTCACTCAGCACGTAGAGCAACGCGACCGTTCTTAGGCCTTACCACTTTCATGATTTCACTGTCCGAAAGCGAACCGCAGACGACGGCGTGTTTGTTGACATCAACGCATCCGATAAGCGAAGAATGTCCGGGGCTGGGCAGTGCTTCAACCCAAGATTCATCAAGTGTGCACGCCGCTCGGTTTCACAGTTGATCACTTCTGCAACTACACCACAACTAGGGGTGTCGCGAACTTTTGTCGAACCAGATTTTAAGGTCGAACTTTCGGGGTTCGACTGGGTCGAACCGGTTCGACGAACCTTCGAACTTTTCCCCAGATTCGACCGGTTCGACTTTGTGGACAGTGTGGCCAGACCTTGATACAAGCATGTCTAGGTTTGGAGAATGTTTTTTTAAGAAAAGGGTTATTTTATTTTATAAACAGTTGCAATTAAAAGAAACTAATTCTAATCACTGAAGAGGTTAATAATTTAATTTTTTTGTACTGTATTAAGTGAAATAACCAATCAGCGCTGCCCTTAATTTATCCCTTAGCCATTACCATCCAGTCCGAAGCCAACTGGCCAGCCTGTCGCGCATGTGCACACGAGTCGAACCTCAATACAAGGTTCGTCGAATTTTCCACTGAAAGTTCGAAAAAGTCGAACCTGGTCGAACTCGAACCTCGGCCGGTTCGCGACACCCCTAACCACTACGCACTTGCAGCCATTACGAGAGCTTGGCTTGGCTGGACTTGACTTGACTTCTTGGCGGCAAAAGAAAATTGGCTTGGTGGCTGGCTAAATGGGACGCGATTAGAGACTCACGGAGCCAAAAATTGGAAGAGCAATCATTACGCGAGAGAAAAAAAGAAGTCCCAATATTGGTACCCGTTGTGGGGAGTGCGTTCATTGTGCGAGTGCGTCCATTATGCGAGTGCGTCCATTATGCGAGTGCGTCCATTATGCGAGTGCGTCTATTATGCGAGTAAATACGGCATATACTCTTGTTTGCGTGGGTCCTTTCAAATACACTGACGTATGTGCAAAAAATAAGAAAACAGGTGTGCTCATTGCCCTATTGGAGCGTTGAAAAGAAAAACTAACCTTGGAGTTGGGTGGCATGCACTCAATCAATGGCGTTAGCAAAAGGAAAGCAAAGAAAAGTATGCACAAGCGGAGACGGCACTGCATCTACCGCACCGCTTCCGGTGCCACCGCCACTCCGTGTGTTCCCGGTTTTGGGTGTAAATTATTTCTTAGTGTGCAATTTTGTGTCTAGATGATGCTATATGACTATGTTTCTACATACAGGCTTTCTATGTGGCAACATAGTCACATAGTTTTATTTTTTGACCCGAGAGCACGCAGTGTGGCGATGTCAAAAGCGGCGCGGCGACGGCGTCAACTGTTTCCGCTGTGGCAATATTTCTGTTCTCAACATGCGTCACTTGGGAGCGACGATGTACATAAAATTCAATAATTTTCACATAGAAAATTTGTAATACCGGTCATTTTTGCTTTGAGGTGCCGCACAACTGCTTTGTTAAAGATAAATATTTGTTTAACAGGAATTATTTTAGTAGTTGGAGAAACACATTGAACGCATAGGAGATTGGCCCGGACTTTATTTCACTTCATTAAAAGGGTGTTTTCAAAGTGCAAGCGTTCGTTATAAAGGCTTTTGACTGTACCTACATTCCCAGCATTCACCTTGGCACTTGGGTAGTTTAGCAAAAGGTCTGTTATGATGTGTGTCGTTAAACACAGGTATAAATGTTTTTATGTTATGAAAGGGTAATGATAGGCTTGATTCCATTGCGGTTACACCTACTG